GCAATACGTTCATTTTCACTACAATATTTATCTTTTCAAAAGGCTTACTTACTACCAACAACACTTGGAAACACTGTTGGTATAGAAGCAGCTCAAGGAGGATGGCCCTGACTTGAATGACCCTGAGGCCCAAAATATCAAAAGCACATTAAAATTTATTAGCATGAAGTGCAAGAATGAAATGAGAATTTCCACTATAAGCAGGATGACTATTAACTGCAAACAAAGCAGGAGTCCTCCTGTGATCTTCTAGTCCTTGAATGAGTGTTGTATAGACAAAAAACCCCATAAAAATAGCACTACTGCTGGATGTCTCTAGCAAGAAATTTTCAACATTTCTGATTGAAAATATAACTGAAGCTGATGCATTGACATTTCTTCTAACATACTGCACACAACAAATTATTAATATGAATGAAAATTATTCACATCATCTTTCTTCATTTTGCTCAAACTCTTCCAAAATCTCTTCCTTGGGTCTTCTTTCTTCTGATAGCTTAGCAGAATTTCACAGTCTGCCCCAACTAGAATTACTCTCCAAAACACAGCAGGGAGGTACGCAAGAGAGGGTATAACATCAAAATAATATGATTTGCTACGCTATGGCAGAATAAAACATATAACAAGAGCGCTAGGAGCCACATTCTGCAAGGGAGACTTGTGATACTGAGCCCATCTTTGTTAGTGACCTAGGCACAAGAGGCAGGAGACCCTTGGGAATCCACGAGCAAGTCTAGATGCCTGTGCCATGCTAGAGCCATTCTCCAATAGCTCCACAACTCCCTCCCGAAGGAAAATTCCCCAAACAGGGCTTTTCAGCATCCCAGACACGTCCCGAGTTCAAACCAGCAAGTGTTTCATTTCAGAAACCCCATACTGTAAGAAACTAAACACAACTGGTGAAATATAAAATGGCTCGTTACTGCATCACCCATCAACACAGGTATAAAGCTGCAGAAGGACAAATGGCATCTTCCTCGCTTGTCCAACAGAAGGCTCAAAGCTGCCATGGGGGAGACTGAGAAAGCTCTGCACCCACATAAACACAGCTGTTTACACTGGGATCAACACCTCTACTGACCCAGAGCCACCCCACTGCCCTGTATCCCAGGAAGCCTGGAGGTGCTAGTGGAAGGTGAGGGGAGACACACCCAATTCAGATATCCCCAGTGCAGGCAACGCAGCTTCACATCCAGTGGGAGCACTGAGAGCACAGAGGAGCAATGCCCCGAGACACAGGGACTGATTACTGACAGCCTTGCCCAAACCCTCTTCTTCCACAGCAAGGCACACAGCTTGTTTCACTCGCCACAAAAACACAAGGCCACTTTTCTTTCTGGGCAAGCAACAACAGAGGCCTTTTGGCAACTTTTAGCTGGCAGACTGTACTCCATGCTTCCCACACTGACCGCACCCCAAGACAAGAAAATCAGTTCTGCAAGCCCCCTCTCCCCAGGACTTCTGCACTACAGGGGTTCCCACACAACCTGAGTCTTCCCCTTCTCCCCCTGCAGCTGCCTCCAGCAAAAAACTCTCATCACTCCTCTCCCAGACCACCCTTCCATTTAAGCAGACAGCACAGTCCCAGAGGTCACCCTCAGGGTCACAGAGCACAGACAAGGCACAGCTGAGGCACATAAACTGCTTCTGACTTGCTCTCACACAGTCCTCAGAGCACCAATATCCCTTCCCCTCCCTGCCTCCAAAATCCCACCTGCTGGCTGGCCTAGGCAGTCCCGCTCCGCTCCCCTTACCTGTTGCAGCCCTTCGCCCTGCTCCAGCCATGGCTCTCAGCGCTTCCCGATCTCTGTCTCCCCCCTGGCGGGAAGGACGGGGCCGGCCAAGGCGCTCCCTGCCGGGGGCGGCACTGCCGCTGCCGTCCGAGATGCTGCCGCCGAGCCAGCCGCTGCCGGTGACCCCGGAGGAAGGCGCAGCTCTGCCCTCCGCCCGGCGGCGGCTCTGCCTGCCGGCCCTGCCCGCTGCCGGCGGGGCTGGAGGGAGCCGGCTGCCCGGCCAGGCACGAAGCCTCTGCCGGCTCCTCGGGAACAGCTGCTTCCAAGCGAACTTACTGGGCTTCCAGCTGTACCTAAGGGGGGGAGAAAAGGGGAAATTATATTTTCCAGCGTGGAGTGTGCATTAACTATTCCCAGAGTTAACAGCACTAGACTTTCTCTTCTTCTTCTGGACCAAACTCCCCATCTCCTGCTGGAGTTATTAATCTTCACCATCTGCACCATTTGTGCGGAAGCGAGTTGGTTTGTTTCTCCCTTTCCACCTCCTCGCCCCCGTATACACTGCCTGAAAACCCAACAATTAAAAATGTGATTTTTTTTTTCCTTTAATTCCCCTACATTGTGTAATTATATTCACATTAGAAATCAATCAACTCTGGTCATTACCATTAGTGATATGCTCATAAACGAAACACTAGTCATGCTAATGAACTGAATGAAACATAATTTCTTGTTGTGTAAACTGATGCTCAACGCTAATCAGCAATAAATTCAATCAGGCATTACTTACATCAACTGAAAAAAACACATTAAAGCCGGGTAAAGAGCAGTAGCTCCTCACCTCTGGGGGAAGAGCGGGCCCGTGGGCCGGCCCAGCGCCGCCATGGCTGAAGGCGTTGGCTACGAGGCCACGGACGCCCTCAGAGGAGGCAGCCTCCTCGCCAGGGACCCCTCGGCGGCGGGGAGTGAGGGGAGCCGGGAGGAGCCAGCGGGATGAGGCCCAAAACTGCGGATGGGACAGGCCATCAGGCCCGGGAGCCCCCGGCCCGCCACCCCGCCGGCGGAGGGGCCCTTGGGCAGCTCCCACCCGCTGCCCGCCAGTCGCGGTGAAGCCATCGAGAAAACCGAAGGCGACTGCGGTCCCGCCGGGCCTCCTCAGCCGCCCCGCTACCGACTTGTCCCTCACCCGCTGCTTCCCCCTCCTTGGAACCCCGCTGGCGGTGCCCGGAGCCGGCCCCAGCTGCCCGCCCAGAGGCCGTAGCCGCCATTTTGAGTGGTGGAGGCGGCCGCGGCCTGCGGGCGTGAGGCAGCCTCAGCAGCCAGGTGGGCCTGTCCGGGAGGGTAGAACCGGCCCCAGCGCGCTTACCCGCACCCCTCAGGGGTTCGCTGACACCACGGTCCGGTTTCCTGCGGCTCGGGTCGCCCTTTCGGAGCCCGTTCTCCTGGAAAACGCGCGGGCTGCGCGGGCGGCAAGGCCGTGAGGAAGATGGCGTCGCCTGCCCCGCGCGCACAGGTGTGAGGCGGACGGCCCCGCCCAGCCCCGCCCCGCCCGGTGAAGGGCGGGAGGGCGCCCCGCGGCCTTGCCCGCCCCATCGGGGCACCCGGCCCCGGTAAGGCACCGGCTAAAACCGAGGGCTTCTTGGCGTCCTCCCCCTCTGAGGGCCGGCGGTGCGGGTCGGAAGGGTGGAAGGGGTTCGTTGAAGGAGACACACACACACACCCCGCCGGCAGCACCCCCCGCGCTGCTCCTTCCCCTTCGCTTCCCGGCGCCGCGGCAGGAGCAGGAACGGGCTGCGGGGCCGGGACGCTCCCCCGGGGCACCGGCAAGGGCTGCTCACCCCCGGCGGGGGGGGGG